GGCTGGATGTGGGCGAATACAGGTTGAATGTCTCTGTGACAGATGGCAAGTTCTTCACCTATACAACTGTCAAAATAAACGTGGACGTTTTGACGGAAACTATGCTGGACAATTCGGTCGGAATCAGATTCAGGGACGTCAGTCCGGAATCCTTCATTTTGAGCCACAGAAAAGGTACGGTTTTTTTGCCCTGACGTCACACGCGTTATTTTATGTTGGTTACGGAATATCGACAAGAAAAATGTGTCTATGTGTTACGATCGTCTAAGGTTGTCAATAAATTTGTTTAATATTTTCTTTAAAAAAAATACAGAAATTGCAGAAAAACTTGGCAACTTCATTTCGCTATTAAAAATACGCGTGTATTGGCATGATCCAAAACGCAAAATGCTTGGGAGACATCATGGTTCTCACCGAAAATTAATGTTTTAGATAAGTTTCCTGGCGAAATTATTGCACAGGGTGTTTTAAAGTTAGGGAAAAAAATAACCCTTCGATTTACCCTGTATAGTAAGCCTAATACTAAAATTTATAAAAAAACTGAGTTTACTAATTAAAATTGATTATTTATATACAGTTTATTAAAAAAAATCATGAAAATATCGTTGAAAATAAAAAATATATAACACACGAAAATATTCTTTGTTGCTTTTTTCTGCATCTGAGTATACAATTTTTTTTTCTTTACCAGGTTTTGTAAGAGCTGTCAGAAATGCAATGAACTGTAAATCGAAAGATGTCATTATAGTGAGCGTTCAACCATCAAGAGACGATGATTTGCTTAGAGCTAGAAGAAATGTAGACTATTTAAACGAGAGGTAAACTTAAAAAAAATTAGTGTTAAAAAAATTATTTAAAATATTTTTTTTTAGATCAAAACGTTACATTCACAAGGACCTAGACGTTCTATTTACTGTCAGAAAATCGGACGATGGTTTCTACAGCTCGGATACCATAAGAAAAGCTCTCAACGACAATTTAGAAGAACTGGAAGAAAGTACCAAGCTAGTAGTCGAGGAAATCATCAGGCTAGAGTGCAATAACAAGTACTGCCTGTACGGATCATGCCAGGATCACTACGTCCTGGATACTAGCGAACTAGAACCGGTTTCGACAGACGTCACCAGCTTCGTATCACCGAAACATCACCAAAAACTCGAGTGTCTCTGTAACGAAGGGTACGGAGGTGACCGATGCGACACTATAGTGAACGAGTGTGCCAGGAACCCGTGTCCGGTGTTCAAAATATGCATTCCCGACGCCTCGCAGACCGGATATTCCTGCCAGTGTCCCGAAGGTTTTGCCGGGCCGTCTTGTGACGTTGACATATCGAAATGTCACGATCAGAACTGTTACATAGCCAGGAACCCGATGTCGTTTCACGAAAGAGTTACTGCAGTACAGGATCATCAATAAGAAATCGATTGAGGATCAGTATCTCAGTTTGAGGATCAGGACTGCATAAATTCCACCGGTAAGTTCTTCTTGTAATATTTTGTATTTTGGAGCAAAAAATAGGAAATAGAAAACTGTCAAATGGAAGAAATAAGTATAGACGTACAGCCATCGTTCAATGTAACGTCATATGTTGTCGAACCCTAGATCATATATATACTACGTGGATAAATCACCGCCATAAGTTTAGCATTAAAAATATGTCTCCAACATCACGACATGCCATTTTCAAACCTTCTATTGCACTTGTTCAATAGGTTTGTCTTTCTCGAGGACTCTTACTTTGCGCATGCGTATTAAAAGTTGCGCCTATTTCCAAAATAATAACAATTTTATACGGTTTAAGCCTAGTTCTCATGGAGCGGAAAATCGCGTTGCCAGCGCGGATTTTTTTAAAATTGTCCCGCTGCGGGAAAATTTCAACTTTTAGCGGATCCGCAAAAAGTTAAACTATTTTTAACTTTTTAGCGAGTTTTTATAGTCTATCTTTGTCTAAACATGTTCTTTCTTCGTTTAATTTTTTACCTAACCTCAAATTGGGAGGGAAGGTTTGTTTTGTTTTTGATTGTTTTGGTCGTAGTTTGAATTTTAATTTTGGAGTTGGGATTTTGATTTTAATTAATTATGGACGTCATTGAGGTAAGTAATTTTCACGGTAATTTAGTATTTAGTAAGTCTGTACCTCAGAGTATAACTATGTTAAGTCCAAATTTTGCCAAAACGGGATAAAATTAAAAATGTTAAGTCGTTAGTAAAAAAAAGCTACTTCTTTTGCTATACTTTCTAAAATGCTATCATTTAAGGATAAAAGGTTAGTTATTTTTTAGGTAATATGTGATATTTGTGGCGAGGGAAATTGTAATCATATGACATTGGCCACCATCAAAACATTCGAAACTGAAACTGATACACAGTAAGCATTTAGCTTATCTATACAATATACTAATATACCCAATATACTAAAATTCACATAACTTTTTATGATAGCATCAATGACATTGAGTCCAATCTTATTCATTTTACTGGTGGTTGTATTATAACCTGTATAAAAAGTTATAAAAATTTTAGTAAGTACCTATACAAAAATGATATCACATGATTAGCGACACCAAGCATAATATTATGCATTTTGTTAGTGGTTGTATTATGTGTCCATGATCCCTTGATATCATTTTTGTATTTATATTGAAGATGTTTTATTAAATCGCATCTTTTTGTCCTTTACACAAGAAATGATGACCAGACACAATCAGACCATGCCAATGCCAATAATATTTCTACGTTTGAGGAGCTTTTAATTGCTAACGTAGAGGTAAAACCTATCCTCTGGAACTCTAAACTGAAGCTTTCACAAAGGGGTAAACCAGAAAAAGATAAGGCATGGCTAGAGATTGCAGAGTTTTTTGACAGTAAGTACTTTTTTTGTTTTTTGGATGCTAATATAAAAAAATATATATTTTTAGAAAAATATTCCATTCCTTATTTGCAAAAGAAATGGAAAAATTTAAGAGACCAATTTGTAAAAGTAAAAGGAGAAGAAGAGGTATATGTGCCCAGTGGTTCTGGCGTGGAGTCAAAAAAAAAAAGAACATGGAAACATTATGAGTCCATGAAATTTTTAAAAGATTGTCTGGCGCCACGAGCGTGAGTATTTTTTATATTATTATAAATACTTAGTCCTTTGTATTTTACAACTATTCCTATTTATATATTTTTTTGTTTCAGTACGATAACCAACATAACTCCAGTACAAGATACATTAACAGTTTCTACCTCCACAACTCCTGAACCTCAAACTCCAAAAGGTAAAAACTAAGATTAATATTGATTTTGTATAATTATTTGCTAAATATTTTAATTACTTAACAACCAGCAAAATAATATTTGATTAGATTTACATATTTCTAACTATACCTACATTTTTTGTAGGAACCAAAAGACAAAGAGAAAGAGAGGATTCAGCCTCCATAATCGTTGAAGCAATTAAAAATTTACCTCCACCACCAATTGCAATTTCTCCAACAAACATAAATCCAATATGCCAGCGTTTGTCTGAAATGTTAGGGACATTGAATCAAGAAGATTGTTTAGATCTTGAAATTCAATTATTACAATTAGCAAAAAAATTTATATTTGAAAAAAAAACACAAATAAATGATTTTTGAATGAGTGAAATTTATTCTTTATTTGTCCCAAATCTAAATGGCTAGAAAATATTAAAAAATAGATATAAAAGTAACGCATAAATTAAATAATTAAGAATTGTGAATACAAAAGTATAGGTATTATTATTGCTTTATCATAATTATTTATACTTTATATTTTATATTATTTATTTGTTCCACTGAAATTGAACTGCTCCATCAAACAAGAAGTGAGATGTTAAATGACTCCTCACTTTGGCTGCATTAAGAGTAGTATTGTTACTACCCATCCTGGTAGAACTATAAACGTTGTTAGAGTCACCTTCTTCCCTCCAAAGCCCATTGGTAATATTTCCATTTGCATCTTCCATATCGACAAAATTTTTTGGACAATAAAGTTCATGTCTACCCTCCATTAAATAGTTATGGAGACATATAGTTGCTTTGATCATGTCTTCAGTTGTTTCTAAGCAGGTATTTATTGGTCTACGAAAGATGCGCCATCTTGCGACCCATATCCCAAAAGTATTCTCTGAAACTCTCCTAGTTCTACTTAGGCTAACAAAACGTGCATAATTATTAATTTTAAAGCAATATACACATTATTATTATACAAACCGATAATTGAAAATTCTCTTTTCTTGTGATAATAATCTTCCTGGATATGGTCTCATTAAGTTAGTTCTAAGTGGAAATGCTTCATCTCCAACAATATAAAATGGTATATTTTCTCCACCATACTCAACTGGACAATCTGAAGGAAATTCTAATTGATTTTCTATTAATTTTTTCCCCATTTCAGAATTTCTTAATATTCCACCATCACTTTGGCGCCCTCGAGCCCCAATATCTACTAAGGTAAACTTATAAAAAGGATCACATATAGACATTAAAACAATGCTGTGGCTTCCCTTATAATTATAAAAATCTGAGCCTGAATTAGGTGGGGCCTAAAAAGTGTTATATATATATATTATAAAGGGCATACTATATGTATATATATATTTCAACACAAAGAACCTACTTGAATAACCACATGTTTGCCATCAATTGCTCCAACACAATTAGGCATTTGCCACACACGTTTAAAATCATTAGAAATCTCTTTCCACTTTTCTGTATTTGGAGGTTTTAAATAATCTTGCCATAAACATTTCCAAATTATTTTGCATGTTTCTTTTACCAAATATGAAACTGTACTTTTACCCACACGATAGGAATAGGACATAGACATCATACTGTCTCCTGATGCTAGGTATCTGTAATATTAGAATTAGAAACAGTAGGTAGTGATAGATATGACATCAAGGAAGATGATGATTGTACCTTTGTACAAACCTTATATTATTAAATTAAAAATTTTAATGTCATAATAAATAATAATTTATTAATAATTTTTACCTTATGGTGAGAGCCAATCTTTCTCCTGGTGGTATCGGTTCACGTACAATATTATTTTTTGCTAATGCATGCTCCATTTTGCTCAGAAGATAGTCAAATTGCTCTGGAGACATTCTCAGATAGTTATGATATCTTGAAATATCTCCCAACCGCATTTCTCTCACAAGATTATTATAATCGCCTTGCTCAGACCTTTTTAAGAAAATATCTCTGACCCACATTCTCCTTTTTTTATTCTGTTTTTGTAAAGACTTTTTGTTTTTATGCCATTCATAAATTAATATTAATCCAACTATGTACTGCCTTCTCCATTGATAGTAGTTATAATTGTTAGCAATATTGGTATCCATAATCACATAAGATTTAAATTAATATAATAATATACAAGTTACAAATATTTTTGTTTATTGTTTATTTACTTAAAAAACACACTTGTCTTGTCACTGTCACCTTTCAAGTTCTGACATTAAAAAAAATCACTAGAAAATAATCTGAAATACCCTAAATTTATCTAAAAATCCGCATCCGGAATCTCGCCTCATGTGAACCGGCCAATTTTACTTTCTTCAACAGAAAGCGATATTCCGCTCCCGCAACGCGATTTTCCGCACCATGAGAACTAGGCTTTAGAAAGTACAAATTATACATTGTTTGTGCTTTATATTGTTTGCAATTTATATTTGTGCAATTATATTTCTATTTTTTTTTTTCGTTGGACTTTCTAAATACTCGTAAAAATTACTGGAAAGTGTT